CGAAGTTGCTTGTCAGGTTTTCCTAACAAGCAACCATATATTTTTTTAAATAAACCCAAAATACCGCAACCCGCGACCCGGGATTTTTTCACCTCAATTTTACAAAAAAATAATCCCAAAATCGCGTATAATACGCGGATTTGGCAACTCTGGAGTGCCTGTGAGGGAGACGAAGCGGCGCAGCAGCTGATTGGTTACCAGAGCTGTCAATCAAAAGCAGCCATGTCAAGCGAAAAAAAGAGCGACGTGAACTAATAGCGGCTGTTATTTCGAGATACAGAGGGTTAAAGTCAGCGGGGTTGTTTCTAAATGACAGTCAGCCTTCTACTTGATTTAGGCGCTGTTGAAGCTGGTCTGCATTATGTTTCTTTTATGCGGATAAGGACATTGCTGGGACAGTCTGACATCGATGTCCTAAGAACGGAGTCTTAAACTGAACCTGCTTCGCCTTTTATGTGACCCAGTAACGTTAGTTTGTTTCTGGAGAAAACGAGCCAAATGATGTCAGGAAAGCATTACAAGGGTCAAGAAGTCAGCTGCTGCATCAAATATTTCATATTTGGATTTAACATAATATTTTGGGTAAGAGCTTGTGTTTGTAGCACCGTGGCTTTGTTTCTAATGCATCGGTGTTTCTTTCTGTCATTGCTTGTGAATGTGAGTGTGATATATGCGCACGCCGGTCGATTCAGCTCTTTTGTTCGTTTGTTTGAAACAAGCCGGTAGATGCTGCACAAGTCTACGTTGAGCGGGGAGCAGAAGCCTCCGGCCCTGTGTTTGTGTTAGTATAAACTCATTTCATTGCGATCTTCCACCAAGCCTTTATCTCAGATGTTCATGACAGCCGCCGAGTCAAGTGCGTACTTCAGATAATCGGCTTTCTGTGAAGCAATGCTTCGAGCTCACTGTATGGACGAACACATGCATCCTGTGTGTGTCCTGGATTGAATACAATAACTGGAGTGATTGGAGATTACATTGTGACTATAAAAAATGCAGGAAGCCTACTGAAAGACCCGGGAGGGTCTGTAAGTTAGTGTCGAAACCTTTGATATAACATTCCCATGTTTGTCTGCTTCAAATTATAGTTTTGAAATATACAGTGTATCCCTAAAATGTTAAAAAAAATAATATCAAGTACAAAGAGTGATGTTGTTATACCTACCTTTTTTTATCATGGTAAGGTGTAACACTACACTAAAAAATGCTGGGTTAAAAAGGGACAAACCCAGCTAT